AAAAAAAAAAAAAGCCATGTTTGTTCTTAGACATAGAATAAAAAATACTTAAACAACTAGAAAATAATAATCATATGAAAATTTAAAAAAATAAAATAAAATAAAGATTAAAAATCTGAACTTAGAATAAGCAGCAAATCTTAATGGAAAGGTCGTTCTGAAAATCAAATCTAAAAGTTAAAAACCGGAAACAAACTAAGAAAACCAAAACAGTGGAACCTTTACATTCGGTTTTGTTATAAAGCCATCGGATGACTCGATTTATGGAGACATCCATAGTTATTCACAAATGGTGTATTTACACATGTCCTGCAATAAATACACATTGGACATATATCGATACATAAATTTACGGATGGCTTCATAAAATTTCTGATAATAAATTAGGCTACATTTTCAAATTATAAAAAATGACACACAAATTTTCTTGCACGACAAAAATTTTATGCGGACAGCAAATATAAAGATACTTGAGTTTCTTCAGTGCTTTTGCATGCAAGATAAACCCAACAGAATAGTTACAATCACCATATCATCATAAATAAAATCCAAGTCGTTAGTCTGAAAGTAAGAGATTCTCAACATTAGCCAACATCACAAATATTTAGTCTGATTAATAAACCGAAAAAAAAAAGAAGAGAAAAATAAAAAGAAAAACACAAATCAAAGTAACCAACTGGCCTAATTTGGTCATAAAAAGCTCAAGACAGAATTTCAAGCCACAGAGTAACACTATTGCATCCTCAAAGGCCACTCTCACACTTCTTCTTGGCTAAAAAGGGAAACGAGAGAGCGAAGTGAAATAGAAATTTAAAAGGGAGGAACACAATAGTGAGTGGTTGACTCATGTGAGTATAATCATGAGCGCCTATTGCGTGATCACAATATCGAGCAAGCCTTTTGAGCCTTGCTCTTCTTCTTCTTCTCCTTGGGTGGTTGCAGCACGACTTTAATGGCGGCATCAAACACTGCCTTCACATTCTGTGGTAATCAAAAAATAAAAAAATAAATAAAAATAAGAAAATGGTTGAGGTTGAAAATCAACACTAGAAACAAAGTGATTGTCAAACAAAAACAAAGAGTCCTTAAGAAAGTCGAATTATACTGACCTCTTGTGTTTTTGAACTACACTCGATGTAAGCATGTGACCCAATCAACTTTCTGAGCTCCTCCCCCTGGGCATTTGAGAGACGGCATATAAGGTTCAGAAAAACGAAGAAAACCGTTACACAAGTTCTCCTAATAAAAAGACAAAAAGAAATGAAAAAACAAAGGGCAACGTAAGTCGAGCAAATAAAGTTCAACCTGTGCAGTAGTGATTGGTACAGCACCTGGATGGTCCAAGAAGAACTGCTTGTCATCCCTTAGATCTGAATCCACCAAATCATTATCAGAAAAGGACAGAACCATTTTTTTTGCAATTTCACTAGATCGAGTAAATTACAGTCCAAAAGAGATTTCACTGCAGCCAACAGAAATAACAATGACAACTTTCTTTGTATTTAGTTTTGTATCAAAGTGTTCTCTCCTGTAATCAACTTAGAGGAGAGGATAACGGACTTATTTCAAGATTTACATTTTTTGAAAAATATTAATTTGCAGTCCTGCACTGGATTCGGCTATTGTCTTCACTGATAATCTAGAATGAAGTTTTTCGTAGTAAAAACCATTAACCATGCTACAGAACACATAACAAAAGAAATGTTTCCAAACCACTCGTAATTTCAACTGAACGGTTATACCGCACAGCTTGCAAATGATAAAAGCTGTCGTATAATTACTGAATCTAGGGCATGCAATCGACACTTTCTACAACAATTGCAGTAGGGAAGATCTCTTCAAGAATACCACTTAATCATGTGCTTTTGTAAAGAAGACATGGAAAGTGTATCTTAGCATTAAAAGCAGGCTCATTTCTCTCAAAAAGCTTAATCAAAGGACTCACCAAGTTTTGTGCCCACAAGAACAATAGGAACGCCAGGGGCATAGTGCTTCAACTCAGGAATCCACTGCTCAAAGAGATAACATAAAGAATTCATAAGACAGGCAATCCTGACAGAAAATAAGAAAGAGAGAAAGAAACTCAAACACGTGACTTCAAAGCGCAATCAAACAATTACCTTCTTGGAAACATTTTCATAGCTGGCCTTGCTAATAAGAGAAAATGCCAAAATAAAAACATCAGCACCGCGATAACTCAATGGCCTTAATCTGTTGTAGTCCTCCTGTCCTGTTACAGAAAACCAAAGTGTAGATTGAGAGAGCAGGAAAAAAAGAAAAAGAAAAAAAAAAAGGAAAATAAGCATGAGGGATGTTACAAAAAAAATACCAGCAGTATCCCATAGGCCAAGGTTAACAGTGTTCCCGTTAACAACCACATTTGCACTGAAGTTATCAAATACAGTCGGCACATAATCCTGTTATATTTACAATGTACCAAAAACATTAATCAGTAAGGTATCATGATTTGAGGTGCAAAAAAAAAAAAAAAGGATGGTATGATATCCAATTGAAGTAACATATTTAGTGTGTGGTACATATTGCACATATGAGCACAAGTATTATCAACAACTAACCATGAAAGACCCTATCCGCCTATCGGAACTCTAATGTCTACAACAACTTTCAGACCAAGAATTGACATGAAAGACTTCTTTAGAGAGATAACCTCATGGGTTCATGCATATGATTCGAACTAACGTAGTAAACCGCACATCTGAATATGAATTGGCCTGATTGTTCCCAATTTACCACGATGGCACAATCATAATATACAAATGTAAGGAATAAAAGAAACGGAAGACAAAGGTTCCAAATGCCCCTAATTGTTTCAACTTTCAAAGCTCCCATTACTTTAAAAAACACACACATTTCAAGCATATGATAAATTAGGCCAGAAAAAAAGAAAAAATGCTGACCGTCGGGAAGGTATTGCTGGTGTATGAAATCAAGAGACAGGTCTTGCCGACAGCACCGTCCCCCACCGTCACGCATTTTATGAATCTTGAAGCGCTCATCCTTAATCCAACAGAAATTCCACCCCTTTTTCTCTTTTCTCTCACGCACACGCCGTCTTTTGCCCCTTTCTTTTCCTCCTCCTCCTCACTCTCTCTCTCTCTCTCTCTCTCTCTCTCTATCTATCTATCTCTGCACTATTCAGATCTTCTCTTGAAGACCTGACGCAAATGCGCAATTCGTCAGACCACCCAATCAAGCACAGACAAACATCGCAAACGACCTGAAGAAAAAACGACAACAATCCACAGCTCGTATCGCCGGGACGCGAGATAACCAACAATTACCAAACCCTAATCTCGAAATCGGCAAATGTACGCACCAGGGGAAAGGGAAAAAAAGGGAGAAAATGGGGGATCGAGATCTAGAGAGAGAAAACAGCGAAAGAAATAAGGGGATGCTTGAATTGGATGTGAGAAATTTGTGTGGCGGCGCTTAGTGTGTGTGAGAGAGAAAGAGGATGGAAATGGGTGGGCGACATTGCTCTATAGCCGGAAAACGCTGCCGTTGAACCGCTCTCTCTCTCTCTCCTCTCTCTCTCTCTCTCCCCTTGCTTTCTTTCTCTTCACGCACTTTCTCTCGCCTTCCAAATAAATTACACAAATATTTTTATTTTAAAAGCTAATAAATTGTTGATAATTAAATCATAAAAAGTGTATTCTTTTGTATAATTAAATCTCGGTTTGGATAAGATCCAAATCGATTTTCATTGAATTTTGTGTCAAAGTGAGTAAATTTTAAATAAATTTAATTGAGTAGAGTATTTAGTGGAATTTAAATTGTATTCAAATAATATTTAAAATGTAATGATTAATGTTGATTTGATAAAAAAAATATGAAAAATATTATAGAAAATGACATATAGTTATTGATATATGAGTAGATGAGTTGTGAGAATAATTTATTGATATTATTTAATAATTTAGATAATACTAATGAGAGTTGAGTTGAATTAAATTTGAGTTAAAAAATATAAAAAAAAAAAAAAAAAAAATATCCAATGAGTCAAAATTAGTTATTTAATATGTAGCCATTTTTCAGTTTTCTCAAAATATTACGAATCAAAGTCTTCAAGAGCTCCAATTCTTTTATAAGATGATATGAATTTTTCTTTTTAGATTTATAATATTTTATGCATCGTTCTTCCTCTCTTTAGTTAGGTAACAAGTCAAAATTGGTCGGTTTGTTGATGGTTTGGTTTGATTTGCAAAAATAAATAACTCGTAGCATTTATTATCAAAATTGAAAGGTTGATATTAAGTTTTTTTTTTTTTTTTTAAGAGAGGTTAATATCTAATTTGTAATTTCACTAAATTTCAATACTATTAAGTTGGCAGACCTTTTTATTATTAAATGCAAAATAAATGATAATTTGTAATTAACTGTACTTTTCGTCAATCATTCGACCTGTTTTTTACAAATGAGCTAAAAAGACAAGAGTTGATGCACGAGCGTTTATCAATTTTTGCGAATAATCAATCAATGGGTCAAGAAATCATAATTGAAGAGAAGTGGGGTGCAAGCATGTAGGTTTTTAATAAGGGTAAAATATTTTTTTCCATCCGAACTATCACGGTTTTGGCGCATCACCATATAAACTATTTTTTGTTACAAACCACCATATGAACTATACGGGTTTGTCAATGTGCTCCCTAAACCAGATATAAAAGTGGTTTTGACTGAAAAAGCTGTTTGGTCACCATATGTGCCCCCTAAATACTTTTACAACCCCCTAAAAAGCTGTCAATGTGCTCCCTTGTTCGTCCCAGCCGTTCGAAAGATGGGAGCAATTCTTACACATTTCATAGTTACGGGCCGTCTCACCTTTTCAAATCCCTCTGAGTACAAACTCAAATAAATCGCCATCGACTCGGTCTGCATCCTAGCGGATCTGTTTGCACTCCGTAAACAGGCCCCTGGGTTCAGGCTGTACGAAGAGGGTCAATCTCGAATGTATCGCCCGGAGCCGTTCAAATAAATGGAGCTCGAACGAACTGCTTCATATACCGAGAATGTGTGATAATAAATACATAGGAAAGTTGGATAAGCTTCGTGCGGGACCACATTTGTGAAAAGACGCGTCCCCAATTCAGCTTCATATACAAACTGCTTTTGTTTTTATTCGGTTCAATGATTCAGTGTTCTTACACCACTGAAGAACTGCATTTGTTATTCCTTTTACAAACACTTTGAGTACTTAGAGACTAAGCGATGTAGTAGACAAGAGAGATTTTTAGTTATTTGTGAAGTCCACGTTTGGTGGCCGAAGAAATAATTAATAAGGTCGGATATAGTGTTGGCTAGACTAGGAGGCAGTCAAATTCTCATAAGTCCAAGCTGATACAATAATAAAAAGTTTTTGAGTGGCAGTGAAACGCTCCTTAAAATATTTTTAGATTTATTTTCAGTGTTCGACACGTCTTGCATATTCTATTTTTCTCATCTACATAAGCTTCAAAATTGTCAACCAAATTTTTAACAATTGGCCAAAAAATATCGACTATAGTAACCGAAACTGATTATATTTAAATATCGGGTATTATTATTATATAAATGGGGTTTGAGAATAATTTGAGCAAAGAAAATGGGGAGAAAGTAAATAAAGCCAAAATTCTACAAAACCCCCAATCGAGACGCACATTCAATCTCCTCCTATTGGATCATGAAATTTGTACCCTTCGCCAGAGGTGTGTGAGTTATTTTGCTGTACGCCATTCAGTGAAAGCAAAAAAAACAATGTAAAAAAAGTTCCATTATTTTCGATCGTCCAAGGCGATCGACATTGTGTATGAGCAACTGTTTGCATCTGTAAGTGCGGGTTTTCTGTGTATGTTCATTTTGTCATTTAATTTACTTTCTTGTATGCAATTCCTTGTTTTCGTGTCCTATTTTGTGGAAAAATATGATCTTTTTCAGATTCTAATTAGAATGTTTTGATTTTCGAGTTTTTTGTGAGTACCCATTGAGTTCTTGAATTAGGTAAACTGGGTCGAGTCCCTCTGGCAAAGTAATTTGATGAAAGGTTTTAATTTTTTTCCTTTACATTGTAGACGGATTCAAGCTCACACGTTTTCGAGAGTAAGAGGAAGAACATTACAGAAAAAATCTCAACATTGTCCGAGCAAATTGCGGGTTTGTTTAGTTACCTGTTGCTCATTTATCATCATACCTAGATATGCTACTTAGTTATCTTGATTTGTTATTTGGCTTTTGTGAACTGGTAGGCAGATGGCTAGTCGAACAACTCGTGCTCGAAAACCTCAAGTGTCGCAGCAGCCCGAAACCCAATTACGTGCAAAGTGGACGGCACAATTGACCAAAACGTTGGCTGACTTGATGGTCGACCAGATTCGCAAAGGGAACGTGTCAAACAAGTCGTTTAGTAGGAAAGGGTGGAAATTCATTTGTGATAACTTCCGCATCCAGACAGGTTACTGGTGGGATAACGAGCAGCTCAAGAGCCGTTATGTCACCTTAAAAAAACTGTATAGCAATGTGAATTTGTTACTCGACCATCCGGATTTCAAGTTGGATGAAATAACTGGTTCGGTAACAGCCACCGATGAAGCATGGGATAGATACATTAAGGTATGGCACAACATCCATAAATTAGACAAATTGATTAATTAATTTATCTGATGTCAAGTTTATAGATGTTCTAGTGCATATCTCTGTACTTATCCTAATATGGTTTGTTGACATTTTGAGCGGCTTGATTAACATCCATGTATTTTTATTTTTATTTTCCGATTTTTATTGTGCTTTGTAAAGGAAGAAAGGAAAGATCGGAAGTTTCTAACAGTGTCTTATCAGGAACATCCGGATGCCGAAACAGTGAGAAGCACAGGCTGTCCCATATACAACCAGCTGCGGACGATATTTGCCGAGCCAAGGGCTCACGAGGAAATAAACGGGTCAGTAAAAGACAACTATGTAATTCCATCTCCTAGCTACCCGGCCGTGAAGCTAGAGGAGCTGTCTCCATCCGAGTCGGAAAAATGCGCTGACGTGTCCAGTCGAAAGAGAGGGCGTAAAGGGATTGAGAATGCTATTGCAAGAGGGATACTAGAGATGGCTGCAGCAAGCAAGCTCCGGGCAGAGGCCATAAACAAGTTCAACGGAAGATTTTCGATTACGGACTGTGTTGGGGCACTGGACGAGCTGGAAGGTATTGATGACCGAGTTTATTTTGCTGCTTTGGATCTTTTTGTGAACCGTTGTGCGAGGGAGACATTCTTGACTCTTGGAGTGGAAAAGCGTTTGACGTGGCTGCAGAGGAAGTGTTTGACCTTGACGAATGCTCGTATCTAAGCTTGGTAAGAAATCTGTTCTCTTTGATAATATTGACCCGAGTAATGTTTTGCTTTGTACTTTGGTTTTGATGGTTCGTGTTTTCCTTGTATGTAACAGACAGCTTTTAATTTTTCGGTATAGATAATCTGCAGTTTTGAATCATTGTATGTGGAATGATAGTTGACTAATACACTGCTATTTTCCATGGATTTAAAATTTATTTCCCGACACAGTTTCACTGCCGACTGTAATCCTTCGAACGTTCTTCTTTGATTTTGATGCTTGTAAGCTCTTGCAACACCCACCCAGATTTACTGAATCTTTTGATTTGGATAAGTTTTGAGTCTGTGGTCACATTGAAGCCACTGATGATAAGGAAGTTGATACTGAGACTTGAAATTTAAAAGACAGAGAATAGTGTACTTGCTCTATTACACTGTAATTAGGATGAGGTGATGTTTCTTTTACACCACCACATTCAGTTCAAGAGATTTTTACTCTAATTTGTTTGTTGTGTCTTTTAAAATCTTTGTGTTCGAGTTGATGCTGATCTAATTTGCTATTTCTGATATGCTTAGAGCATCCACGATGCTTTCGGTCTCATTTTGCTTACGTTCTAGTAAAGGGCAAGCTTTGATGCCTCTACTCCCGTGAGTCGAGATCGTGAAACTCTCGCTCGATGAACACAAACCTTACATGACATGGATAGAACTAAACAAAAGTAATCAAATTCATTCTAATGTAAAGAGATCGAGTCTCTATTTTGGTCTAAAATTAAAATAAACTTAAGGTTAAATCTTTTTTTTTTTTTTTACTACCACATCGCTGATGACTCAGTTCACTTTTATTTACATTGGAGAACATTTTTTTTTCTAGATCAAATCTATTTTCTATACGGCATGTTATATTTTTTTAATACCCCAAAACATTGTGGATGCTTTTAAATGTATCAAATAAGAATTATGTCGCACCTAGATTGATTAAAGATAATATATATATACTAATTACCAATACTATCTTTTAATACAACATTTTTTTTTTTAAATTTCAAAATGATCTGGAAATAAAATGACCTTGTAAATTGACGAGTTGAAAATGAATAATTGATTCTAAATTTTTGAAAAGTCTATTATCAACTTATTTATTTAACATCACTAAAAAATAAAAATAAACAAAATTATTGATTGATATTTTTTGAAAAGTTTAATCAGTAGATTTAGATTAATTATTAACCTCACATATACATAAAATCAAACAAAAGTCACGATTGTAAAGAAAAATTATCAAAAGATTATATATTTCAATGCCCAATTTTTTAAGGAAGACTATTGATGAGCCAGAAGCCCACATGTAGAATAATTTCTGGAGGAATTAGGACATGAGATAGTTCCTATGTCGCGTGTATAGGCGATAATGCACCTTTACTAGTAATACCTTATCGCAGTGGGGGAGTCATTTGACAACCTGAAAGATTCAAAGTCCTTGAATTTGATTCCTAGTGAACAAGAATCGTACTCCTAAAACATTTCAAAAGCAATGTATTTTNCGTTCCGGCAAGGACTCTGCCCGGACCCGGCCCGACCCGCCGGATCAAGGTCGAAAAGAACAAGAACCTTAATAGGCCCGTTTGAAATCTGAGCCGAGCCCGGACTCGTGGTCAACTGATTTGACCGAATCGAGGCCGGACCGGGCAGGGGCAGAGCCAGCCTCAAATTTCACCGGAGTCGGTAATATTTTTTAGCGGGGTCATTAAATTAGTAAACAGTGTTTGAACAGTATTTTATACTAAAAATTTTAAAAAATCCATAAGGGTCAGCTGACCCCAGCCACAAGGTGTGGCTCCGCCACTGGGGCCGGGTCCATGCCGGATGACCCGTGGTCACGTCTATAGATTAGTGAATCGCCCCTTAAAAAGAAAATAAAAAAAAAAATAGAAAAGACACAATAAAATAAAATGAAGTACATTGATTTTTGTGATTTTACTTTTTCTAGTTTTTTCCTAAAAAACAGTGATATTTATAATGAGGGAGGAGAAGTGTCAGAAGATAACGAGGCACTCCTTCTTAGGGTTTCAGGTGAGGCATATTTCATGTTTGTGCGTGAATCTAACACGAGAGATCTTGCACGCACTGCTGACTGCTGTTGGGGGAAGGGAAGATCCTCTTCTATCTTTGTTTCAATCGTGTTAGATTCACGCACAAACTCGTGATATGCCTTTTCCATTTATTGGTAACTAAATGCAACTTTTTTTTGCAGTTATTGTATTCGATTTGTATTCATTTCAATCCGTGAATGGTGGTATTTAATTAGGAAATAATGTTTATTGCAGGAATAGACAAAGATTTGATTTTTATGCCTATTTTTTTTTTTTTTTTTTTTATTTTATTTTTTTTGGGGAGATTCTTGATAGTTCTGTTTTTGTTGGGGGAAGGAAAATATATGTAAAATTACAGAGTGCATTGCTATGGTAAGTGATGGTTTTATTGTTTATTGTGACTCTGTTTTGTGTGCTTTTTGGGACAAATATATTGCAACAAGTTGAACACTCTTTGATTGTGTTTCTGCTATGAACACAGTAATAGGTAGTTGAACACTAATCGAATGAATAAACGTTTGTTTGTTTAGCTGATGAATCGCATCGAATATACCCTGAACTGCAGGGTAGTTAGAAATGAATTTGTGATGCTGCATTGGCATGTAAAGTTCCATGACAAATCTGTGAATTTGGTCTAGAAAAGCAAGTATTAATTAGCTTATGCGGCGTCTCCAGTTAGCGAGTCCTTTTATGCCTATTGTTAGTTCCTCGAGTTTCCTGATCTTGGCACTCTGCTCTACAGTCTTTTTGCCCTATTAATCTCAAAGCATAAATAATTTTTGCAGGAAGCTCCGGTTTCATCAAATGTATAAATCTTCCATAAACAGATTGTCGTAATACTGTTTTCTCGTAAATTCAGCAAAATTGAGTGAACTGTTTTTTTCGAAAGTATCTGTGCAGGAAATCTTGGAAATCCAAGGGAGATTATCTCATAATCTTGATCATCTTCTGACAGGTTAGCGCGAAAATCCACCTGTTATACTCGTCCGATATCTCCAGTTTACTAAGGATTTCCCTCAAATTACATGAAAAACATGCAAAAGGTTGGACTTTCGGGTTCCACTTTCCTTATTAAAGCTAATTCTAGGTCATATCATGTTTGTTTCAGACAGCAGCAGAATTGTAATTTGCCAACCATGTGTAAGTTTGGGTTGAAGCAATTCCCGTTGGATATCTACAAAGGTTATGTTCGGTAAAACTATTAGCTATGGCTTATAAATTTTGAGACTGTAGCTGATAGCTTATGGCTTATCAGCTAGCTTATAAGTGAATTTCGAGTTTATAGCTGATATATTATTGCTTAGGGCTGAAAACTAGCTGATATGGTAAAGCGTTCGGTAAAATTAGCTGAAAGCCAGTTGAAATAAAAATTTCAACAATATTGTGGCTAATGCTTATTTAAAAGCTTTGGTATTTCGTTTATTTTATTAACATAAATGAAACGCACAGTAAATTGAGGCATTTACTTTTTAATTATCACATTCCAAAGTGTATGAAGATAGTTCAGTCACTTACTATCAAAACAAAATCGAAATAGGTACATTCCAAAAGCAGGATCAATAAAATGGGCGGGAAAAATCATTTTTAAATGTAGATATTAGTCTATCCTCTTCATATATACTAGTGAGTATCTTGTGCGATGCACGGCGGACTTGTTTTATAAAAAAATTTCTTAAACTTTATTTTGATAATATATTATTTTGCTAACGATTATATTAATATAAATAATATTGTAACATCTATATTTATTTTTTGATCTAACAATATTTAATAATTTTTTACCTATTTTTTTAATCATAATACTCAATTATTATTTTATTCTAAAATTTGTTGTCATATAATGTTGTTGTTGTTATTCCTTTTATTATTATTATTATTATTATTATTATTATTATTATTATTATTATTATTATTATTAACACTTATAAAAGTAGTATTCTTTATATATATATATAATCATAAATAGTTAATATAAATTAATACTATTTACTTGTGTAATTAATTTAAAAATATTTAAACAAATTTAAAATAAATATTGTGTTGTATGCATTCTCTTCATTTTAGAATTTATCCTATCTCAAAATAATTAAAAAAAACATGTACATATAAATATGATTTCATGAGATTGTTAAATATGTTAAGCCTTCAAATGAAATTAGTAGTTACATAGTATTACCTTTGAATATTGTCGTAAAGGTTTTTAGTTTATTTAATTTTATGATAGAAGATATTAACGTAATCAATTAACCATTTATGGTTTTTAACGTAACAAAAATAATGGATAGAATTTCAAATTTTAAAAAAGTAATGTAGTTAGATAATTTTGACAACCAGTTGCGCGTGATTTTTCGAAAAGTTCACTAAATTTCGCACGATTGTGTAGTCGGAACTTTTAAGGCTTTATCTGACAAAATGATTTAAAAGATCTATATAAATTAGATTCTTTCCAAACTTTAAGAAGGTATGAGAAAGTTAACAAAATTTCACATGATTGTACAGTAGGGATTTTTAAAAAATAGTATGTATTAACCCTTAAAAATGAGTTGTTAGATAGTATTATTGGTGAATTTATGATAGAATAATTCTAATTAGAGTATTAAATTTTATGATAAAAGATATCCTTAAGATATTGTGTTTGAATTTTTAAAATTAATTAACAACTAGTACAACTCTCATGTATTACACGGGTGCTTGCTAATTTTTTTATTAAAATCTAAAATTAATGAGAAAAAGTAGTTTGAAAATTTAAATACCTTTTATAAAAATATATATATTATTATGACACTTTTATATACTAATTTTTTTTTAACTTACAATATATAACTACATTACATATAAATATATCAGCTGAGAAATAATTTTATTTTTCTAATGAATTTTAATAAATATTATTATTTATTATTATTATAAAGATAAATATAAT